ATTATTTCTATATACGCAGTTATTTTTTATCAACCTGAAAGATATATGATGCCATTTGCTGTCCTCATTTGCAGCTAAGCAGATAGCTCCTGGTTCAGTTTCTGAAAAGGATATGGTAAGCCCCTGATCGGCTTTACTGTAATGGGTTCTTGCTTTTAAGTTTTCTTCTCTTATACCACGACTTTTCAAGCCCTCTCACCACTTATATTCAACTAAGAAGAAAAAAAACAAAAAAAACAAAGTAATAGTTAGAGACATTACAAGTTGCATTTACATCCCTCTTCTCGACTATCATGCTCAGAATAGACATCACATCATGGATATAAAAATCTTCAAACCATTTACTGGCCAATTCATTGCTCACTTAGTGCCAAAATTTTGCTAGTTTGTATTTTTCAAATCTTTCAGCAATTTTTATATGTAACTTTGTTCTTTGTTTTAAATAAGATTTATGTGACATCTATAAGCTACAAATTTTTGTAGGGGAAGGAAGGAAATCAATCCAAGTCAGTTCCTTCCGTGTCTGCTGTGCTCAGTGGTGTGTCGGAAACTAAACCGGCTGCCGATTATCCAACAGCTTTCGATCAGGGTGTTTATTATCCGGCTACCAGCTGCTATGATTATTACTATCCGGGTAAAATCTTTTTTTTTTTTTCTTCTCTATTGTGTGATTATGCGATTTGTTCATTTCATTAATAGTATTCTCTATTAATGCTTTTGGAATACACTCACACTTTGGTGATAAATTTTTTACTATTACTATAGAAAAATTTTATTATTTCTGAGCATTGAATTATGTTATTTAGTTAATTATTTTGTATTTAATATTATTTTATAATTCCATCTTTCTGCAGGTTACAATGGCGCGTTTGGTCAGCCAGATGACAAAAGATTTTTGAATCCGTCAGGTGGTTCTTACACGGTACGTCGTTTCCTGTATAGAATGTTTGCATATAGGCTCATTTTAATTATAAATTTATTCATGAAGTAAATTAGTTCAATAATTCTGTTTATCTTCCAATTAACTCCTTACATGCAGGGCATTCAGTCTGATAGTAATCCACTCCTTTATTTCTACCCTGGCTTTGCCTCGTATCAAACTGGAACTGAATACCTTCCTCAGCTGGGATCTTATGGTTCGGATGCATTTCCATGTTATACTTATGATTCGACTTATTCTGGTAATGTTTCGAATGGGTCAGCAGCTAAATCTGGATCTTTTAAGACAATGATGGGCCCCGGAGGCTCTGGGAAGTCGAATGGCTATAATGTTGCAAAAACTTCAGCTTTGCCTGTCAATTCGAAATTTCAACAGTCTTCTAATTTTTCGAAGTCTTTCTATCAAAACCAGGCTCTGAAGTCGCTGAACAAGGTATCTTTTTTCAGTCATTTTGTCAATGTTTGTAGAGTATTGTGTTTTAAATTATAAATTTTTTATGCAACTTGCTTTCTCTTTGATTATAAATTTCGGCGGCTGTAGTTTCTTGTGCTTGTTCTTCGTTGAAGCTCAGAATTATGTTCTTAAGTTCATATTTTGGACCACTTTTTAACTTACACATTTCATCAAATATAAAATTCTACAGCTGTGTTTCTCAATATATATATATATATAGGGGTTGGTTCAAATAAAAACTAATCTTGGTGTGAGAACCGTGAGAACCATTTTTTATGCTATTTTTAATTGTGTATGATGCTATTTTTCATATTAGATGATGCTATCATTTTTACAAATGCTAACAGAAATTGTGTTGCTATTTTTAATAAAATTCATCATGGTTAAAAATCGCACCAAACACAATCAATCATAGCACTACGCACAATTAAAAATAGCGGTTCTCACGGTTCTCACATTAAGATTCGGTTCTCATTTGAACCACATCTTATATATATATATATATAGATATATATTTTGGCTGGGTTTATTTTTTTCTTGTGCACTTCTTTGTCAAGGCAACAAACAGGATAGGTAAAATATAATTTCTACAATTTTATTCACAAGTTAATATTTGGAACACCGAATTAACTTACCTATTTCAAGAAGTGCATTTCTTATAAATTCTTTCTTCACTTGCGGTTATCTGAAATGTGCACGTGTTTGTTAAGGCAGACCAAAATATGTCCAATTGTGTTCACAAATTCAAATTAATTATTTTATCAATTATTTTTTCTGGTCCTAATGATATCATGCTGACATGTCGTGATTCTTTGTTTAACCCAATTAGCTTCAATAATGAGATATACCATGATCTTCATTTTTAAATACATCTTTTCAGTTAGGTTCTGGCTTTCAGACCACCGGCCTCACAAAGGGATATCAACCAACTTCAAAATTCTCCTCGTTTGCAAACCGAAACCCTGGTGCTTTCATGCAGTACTGTCCTGTAAATTACCAGTCAAACAGCAGAACATGGAACAACAACTACAAATACAAGTCACGTGAAACTTTTGGCAGGAACTCAGGTTTTGAGGCCTTAACAGAGTTAACACGTGGCCCGAGGTCCGAAGCCAAAAACAATTCATCCGAATTTGGTGCTGAGGCTGAACGCGCTATTGAAAACAATGAGTACAACTTGCAAGAGTTTCAGATAGAGTACAATAATGCAAAGTTCTTTGTGATAAAGTCATACAGCGAGGACGATGTTCACAAATGTATGAAATATGATGTTTGGTCTAGTACACCTAACGGAAACAAGAAATTGGATGCTGCTTTTCGTGATGCAGAAGCTAAAACGAGCGAAACTGGAGTGAAGTGTCCTGTCTTTCTATTTTTCTCGGTAAAGCTTTTTTGCTTTCCTTGCCTTTTCTTTTCCTTTTCTTTTTTTCCTGAATTAGTCATTAAATCATAAAAGATATATCCAAATTTCTCAACTTTCTAGCTGTTAATGCTCATAGCTTTAATGTTTTACAAAAGTGGCTTTTGTACATTGTTGAAAAGACTTGAAACCATTATTTAATTGAAGTTTGAGTGTGTGGTATCAAAAATGTTTTTTTTAAGCTGAAACATATAACATTAAATTTCTGGAAAATGAATGGAGGTTTTTTCCTGTTGGGGATATATGAT